CAGAGTAGACATAGCCTGGGTGTTTGTAGACCGCATCAGATGGGTTAGACATCGCTTTGTTCCCCAGTTGAAAGTTATGTAAAACAGCTTGTAAATGAGGGGAATGGAGTATTCTCCCCCACCCATGGATTGGGTGGGCACTAAATGATTCTAATTAGAAGGGACACTGTCTGCACTTAACCATGGGTAACTCCCAGACCTGCTGCCTGTACAGCCAGGATCGCAAACGTGGGAAGAAAAATCAAACACTCATCTTGCTTTCAGAGATAAACTGCTGAGTTTCTAAACTTAAGGAAGGTTCCTAAGAAAACCAGGTTGAAACCAGACATCCAGATTTAATAGTTTTCTGGTCTCTGAAATCTTGGTGCCTCCTTTTGCCAGGGAACCTCTCCCTGGCTGCTCTTCTGGGCAGAGCAAGTCATGACACTTAGGGTACATCTAGACTGCATTGCTGTTTCGGGATACTGGAAGTATCCCAAAATAGCAACACTGTGTCCAAGGAATGCATCTGCTATTTCGGAAAAATTTTCAAAATAGAGGACATGCTTTTTCACCATACTTGTAAACCTCATTCTATGAGGAATAAGGGATGGCCCGAAAGAGCACTTTATTTCAAAATTCAGCGCTGTGTAGATGTGCCAAATTTAGAAATAGCCTCTTTTGGAGTTAGATCGAAAAAGATATTCAATGTGTGTAGCGCAAATTGCATATTTTTTTTTTATTTTTAGAGTGCAGTCTCGACATAGCCTTTGTTACAGTTGTCCAACACCTCAGTATAACCCCAGGTCCACACTACAGGGAAAGATCGAATTAAGTTACTCAACTCCAGCTATATGAATTGTGTAGCTGAAGTTAATTAGAGTTTCTGTGCATTTGCCACAGCAAGAGTTTGATAGGCAAGCAGCAGGAGCACCAGTGCTGACAGGCATCCTCTGAGTTTGATTTAGCAGATCTAGTGAAGACCCACTAAATCAAATGCTGGACGATCAATTGCAGCAGTGTTAATCTTCAATGTAGTGAAGACAAGCCCCAAAAGTGTGGATTCTGGTGCTTATAACTTTCCCCAACTTTAACCTTTGAGGTTGAAATGTTCAGGGTTAGGTATCTGCCTTTAACTTGTTTTATTTTGGAAAGATCCCAGTAAAATGGTTCAGCCAATTCTGGGAAGTAGATTACTGGAAAAAATGCATTTTGACCATGTTTTTCCAGGACCTTTCCTCATATCGTGAATTATCCCTGCTTTCAGTTCTGGTGCCACTGCAGATGGGATTGGTTTTCCCACACTTCCATGGGTCCCTTGGCAGCATCTGTGCAGTGTGTAGGAGGCAGCTGCCTGACTCAGCTGTTGATGGGATAACAGCTGGAGCAGAGAGGTGTGCACAGTCCTGGAGCCAGTGTGGGCGCAGGGGCAGGGCTAGCAGTGTGGAACTCAGCAGCTGGGCTAGCTAGCAGAGGAGTCGGGTGGGGGTGTGGAACCTGGAAGGGAGCCCAGCTGTCTGCTGATGGACCATGGGAGAGCCTGCAGTCAGCAGAGGGGCCGGAATTGACCTCCCCTGGTCTGGCATAATCCCTTGTGTGAGATCCGTCAGGGCCCTAGGGTGCCAGACCAGGCATGTGCAACCTGTAGTTAAACTTCCCTGAACCTTTTGTGAACCTCTCCTAGAATCCGAGGGCTGGCAGAGACCTCAGGAGGCATCGAGCCCAGCCCCTGCCCAAAGCAGGACCAGCCCCATCTCGACCAGCCCCAACTCAACCATCCCAGCCAGGGCCTTGTCAAGCCTGCGATTTAAAAACCTCTAGGGCTGGAGATTCCACCACCTCCCTCTAGAACCCAGCCCAGGGCTTCCCCACCCGCCTGGGGAAATCGTTTTTATTAATAGCCAACCTAGATGTCTCCCACTGTAACTTGAGACCATGGCTCCTTGTTCTGCCATCTGCCACCACTGAGAACAGCCTCTTTGGAACCTCCCTTAAGGAAGTTGAAGGCTGCTCTCAAAACCCCCATTACTCTTCTGCAGACTAAAACTCAAATCCCTCAGTTTCTCCTCATAGGTCATGTGCTCCAGCCCCCTCATCATTCTGGTTGCCCTCCACTGGACCCTCTCCAATGCATCCACATCCTTTCTATAGGGGGGGGGCCCAGAATTGGACGCAGTACTCCAGATGTGGCCTCACCAGTGCCAAATAAAGGGTATGTCTACACTTGCCCCCTAGTTCGAACTAGAGAGGCAAATAAAGCATACCGAAGTTGCAAATCCACCACGGGATTTAAATATCCCGCACTTTATTAGCATATTCGCAGCCGGTCCCCATTTTAAAATGCCGGTGTGTTTCATGAGGCATCTGGAGGGTATGCAGGATACCAGGTTTGGTTGGCTTAATCTTTGAGCCAAAATTCAGACTAAAGATACTGATCTTATCTTTCCAAAACTGTAGAGAAGAAGTGCATTGATACTATGCGGTTGCCCGATTTAACTTGATGCGCTAATCTGATTTAAAAGCCTTCCCTCAAATTAACTGTTACTCCTCATGCAATGTTAATTCAAGGGAAGGGTTGTAAATCGGACTACCGCGTCTACACACGGCAAGTTAAATCGGGCGACTGGCATTTTAAAATGGTGACTGGCTGTGAATATGCTAATCAAGCATATTTAAATCCTGCGCTTGATTTGCAACTTTGGTATGCTTCATTTGCCTCCCTAGTTTGAACTAGGGGGCAAGTGTAGACATACCCAAAGGGAATAATCACTTCTCTAGATCTGTTGGAAATGCTCCACCTAATGCACCCTGATATGCCATTAGCCTTCTTGGCTACAAGGGCACTGCTGAATCATATCCAGCTTCTCATCCACTGTAATCCCCAGGTCCTTTTCTGCAGAACTGCTACTTAGCCAGTCGATCCTCAGCCTGTAACAATGTTTGGGATTCTTCCATCCCACATACAGGACTCTGCACTTGTCCTTGTTGAACCTTATCAGATTACTTTTCGCCCAATCCTCCAATTTGTGTAGGTCACCCTATCCCTACCCTCTAATGTATCTACCTCTTCCCCCTAGCTTAGTGTCATCCGCAAACTTGCTGAGGGTGCAGTCTATCCCCTCATCCTCACCCCTAATGATCTCATACAGAAATAAGGGACAGATGCATCATATCTGCACAGGCCATGTTACTGACAGTGTGTGAACACATGTAAGCTACAGCTGTCTCATCAATGCTATGACAATCAATATGGTCCACAACACCCCTTTCCAGATCCCCAGCCCCTAGCCTGTCTGTCTCCATGGGCGCTGTATCTCATCCAGGGCACCAGATGCCTCAACAGCAGCTGCAACTGAAATCAATAGGCACTCCGCTTGGAAGACACAAGGGGCTACTGCAGGAGGCCAAGTGCTCTGGCAAACCATAACCAGGGCTTCTCAAACCGGGCCCCCCAGAGTCAGCTGAGCCTTTTAACCTGAATCTTTTTGTTGCCCTTTTGTAAAATAGGGATGACGTCCTTTCACGTCACAGGGTGTTGTGAAAATAAATGAATACGGGTGAAGTGGTCAGCTCCGGGAGGGATGAGCGAGATAGAAAAGTCCACGGATAAATTAATAAGTGGGTTTGGGGGTGCCATTATTATTTATGCAGTATCCAGAAAGTGGTTTAGGTACCTTACAGAACAAATAAAATATGTATAGTGCTGTGAAAGACATTAAGGAAAAATCCGTAAGTGAACAAGAAAGCCAAGGTAAGTAATTGCGAGAACTCTGTGTTACTCGAAGTTTACCTGGCATCGTGTGGATCCTTCAGGGTTAGGTGTGTGTGCAGGAGTCCGGGTTGAGGGGCTAGGAGGGGCTCAGGCAAAGAACGGGGTGGGCGTGCAGAAGTCATTCCACAGTACAACTGCACCTGTTAGCAGCCCCTCCCTTTCCGTATTATGAAAAACAATCGCATTCCAGGCACATCCCTTGGTCCTGGTACAGCCCCTGGTCCTGGCTTTAAGTAAGAAGAAGAGGAAGCTGCCTGCCAAATTCAGCAGCCCGAGCTGTTTCCCACCAGCTAGCTCCCTCATACAGAGAGGAGATTAAGGCCTCGTGTGTACCTTCAAGCTTTGTCTACATATTACCGATTGCTGACACTGAGTGTCATCAGTGTGTGCAGCTGAATGCAGTTTAACTCCTAGTGCAGACAGGCTGCCTAGTTCGGAAACCACGGGCAATGCCTGCCCTAAGCAGAGCAGAGTGGAGATGCCGCAACAAATAACACATTTTTAAAAGACTCATCTGACCGCTTCCTATATATTCCGACAAGTTTGGGAGGGGGAGAGAGAAACTCCACAAGCTGTGATGAAAGATCCTATCTTCTGTGACAGTTTGGTCAGAGTTCCTGGAAAATCCAGGATGCTGGAGTTACAGACTTGGGGATTTTGGTTGAGAGGATGGATCCTTTTCATGAACAAAATCAGCTCTGACAGTCTGCAAAGAGATCCCGTGTACATACAAATCCTTTGCTCAGCTCTCAAACAAGGTGGAGTGAGTGAGACATAATGAACCTCTCAAAGTCTTGGGTGTGAGATGAAGAGCTGGGAGCAGAAAGGAGACTAGAAATATGGAACGGCTCTACTCTGCCTTCTTCCCCTTTCTCCAGATAAAGTCTAAAAATCAGCTCTGACAGTCTGCAAAGAGATCCCGTGTACATACAAATCCTTTGCTCAGCTCTCAAACAAGGTGGAGTGAGTGAGACATAATGAACCTCTCAAAGTCTTGGGTGTGAGATGAAGAGCTGGGAGCAGAAAGGAGACTAGAAATATGGAACGGCTCTACTCTGCCTTCTTCCCCTTTCTCCAGATAAAGTCTAGGAGTGAGAAGATGGTGTAAAAGAGGAGACCAGCTGGACATTGCTATTTACCCTAGCTCATAAAAGAAGAGAAGAAAAACTGTACAACGGTGATGTCTAACACGCTAGCCACTAGCCACGTGGCTATTTGGCCAGTTGAATGTGGCTAGTTCGATGTAGCACTAGCTTTGGTTGGACACCACGGCTCTAGAAAAATTAGAAGGCAACAAGTTTAAGGATTGCTAATGCACCATTTTACACTATGTTCGCAAAGAATTACTAGGAAAAAGCAAGGATTGGTTCAGGTACACAGCTTAGGAATGCACTCTGTTGCATTACCACCTCTGTCCTTGAGATGGTGCCAATCGCCAATGCTGGGGCGAAGAGGGGGACCAGAAGGCAAAGGGAAGCACTAATTACAGCCCTAGGCTTGTTTGTTCTCCGAGTTTCTGTTATTACTGAACTACACCAACCAGGGTCTTTGCAAACTGTCTGCATGCAGAACTGAAAAAGCAAGCAGAAAATTGCAAGGGGAAAAGCGTAGCAAACTTTTAGATGGAACAAAAGCAAAGATGGTATAAATGGCAAACTGGGGCATTAGGTCCCTGATGTGTGCTTTTCCATCTTCGATAAACAAATTGTAAAGGTCAAGACTGTACAAGTAATTTCTCTGGACCGAAGCACCTCACAGAAGGGTTTTTTTGGGGGGGAGGGAGGGGGGGAGAGGACAGAGGAAGTCTGCATTAAAGTAGCAAGAACACTTTTCAAGAAACTTGTGCTTTTCAAGGGAGTGATTTTATAACAAAATCACCCCTCCCCCATTTATGTTTCTGCATTAAAATAATGTCATCAGTAATGAGGAGGATTAAGAGGCTTTACTATGTCCTAGAAACCCCCAGCCCTTCCTACCTTTCTATAGCACAAACCCACCTGCACACTTCTAATTCACTGATCACTGAATCTTGTTTGCTGTCCCCGGGTCACCACCATCCCCTTGTTTCATAGCCGTAATTGGAAACATGAAAATTCTTCCTTAGCAGTGAGCTTCCCCTCACCTTCATCCTGCCTGCTTGGGCTGGACCCTGCTCTCCTGAGCTCATCAGAGCACACAAATGCAGCCACCCACCTCTAGGAGGAAAATTGAGCTGCAGCCCTGGTGAAACATAAAGTTTATTTGACTAAAAGTGACGCAAAAATTCTTAAAGAGCTCTTTGGCAGCAGATTATCTGGAAATCAGACCATGTGAGGGGGATTGGTGTACAAAAAGCTCACCAAGATGCTGAGTTGCCCACAGGCTGTGTTTCAGAGGCTCTGAAGCAAATGTAGGGTTACGGTTACTCCGGCTTGGATAACTCCAAGGGGAAAGCACCTCAAATTCATCCGAAAGGCAGGTACTTTTTCTATGTCTCTAGATTTAAAACAAAAGGAAAGTTTTATACTTTGTGAGCCAGGCAGACTCTTTGATCTAAAAGGGTCGGTCTTCTGCTTCAAGCAGATGTTGGCATTTCGTTAACTTTTACTGACTGTTTCATTGCGTCTTGCAAGTATGATTAGGAACTTTGAGAAAATGATGCTGACCTAAAGCTTATATAATGCATTTTGTTTTGTTTACTTTTAATGTTTATTTTTAAATAAACACTTTATATGGCTCCCAGCACCCTCTGAAGTGTTGCGAGTAAGACCCGTTTGTCATGGCTTTGAGAAAAGATCTTGAATTTTGGTGGAAGTTTGCTTTGATTCATTAACCGTATGCCTCAGTTTGCTTTTCTGCTGCTACATGCCTGCTCTCTCATCTAGGCATTTGTCCAATAATTATTAATGTTGCAGACAAATGGCTGCAGCAGAACATGTTATGACAATTTGAAATTCGAATGTATGCTAATCTAAATTCTTGTTTTATGAATAGTGCATTTAATTTACATTCAAGAAAAATATCTGAAACTAAACTAGATAAGAATTATCTGAAAGTGGCAGACTCTGAGACAACCATCAATGCAAAATTCTAATTTACTTTAAATTTGGTTTATTTTTGTCTTTTTTTAATTAGCCATCTTAATTTATATTTGAAATGATCATTTGTTATTGGAGAATGGTTTAGCTAACTTGTTGGAACGGAATAATTGTCACTAATAGACTGAAGAGTATTTTGATAGTGTATTTCTTACCATCAGTGTTTACTTATGCAATTAAAGTTGTAGCTAAGCCAACAAGCCTGTTGATAAATATCACAGAAGCTCCCGTCATTAAGAATATAATGTGATCAGATAGATAGTATCCAGTGGCTCCTCTTCCAATGACACGCAAAGTGCCTGGAAAGGTAAAGATTTAATATGAGGCAAAAGCGAGATGGAAGTAGAATCCAGTGGGTTTAGATTCCTGGAGACAGGAGCATTGGAACAATGTGTAGAGTGGGGGTGCTCAGAGCCACTGACCCAAACTGCAGATCCTGGAGAGGATGGAAACATCTTCACCCCACCCAGATGGCAGTGGGGGGTGCATTTTCTAATTGAATGGAGGGAAAGGGGGTTAGTTTCAAACAATGCTACAATGCAACAAAAGGGTCAAAACACCGCATGTACTCCCACATCGGGGAAATGCCTCCTCTCACTGGTGCCTTTCTGCGAGGATGTGAGCTGAGTTTTGCAACAGGAGGAAATGAGTCTGCCGCACTCGGGCGGCCTTCCTGGTGTCTTCATTCTTTTCTAAAGAGAGTTCTGTAGCCCTGGCAGTTTGACAAGGGCTGGTTTCATGCACATGGCTTTGTGCGATGAATGCCATGTGGGAATGAACTGTGCTGTCGCGCTTGGAACCACAGCGCTCCTGCCATACCTTGTGGATTGCCTTGTACCCAGTAGCCTTGTAGGAAAGATCAGCTTGACACATTTGTGACCATTGATTTACTCTAACATAAACATTTACCAACATAATTCTAGAGATGAGCGCTGCTAGAGTCTGACTGCACATTTACACGGACTCTCGTACTCTGTGTACGCACGCATCTATCTTATTATGCAGTCAGCATGTGGCATTACCTCCAGCTGCCTGTCTAGGGAAAGTCTGGACTTGCTGATGGGCCTCGAGTAATTTTGTGACCTTTACTGTATAATGTATGTTCCTTGGAGATTGCCTAAATGATTTAAGGATAATGTCGAGGGGAATGGCATTGTCTCTCAGCTCATCTGTTCCTTTGCACTGAACATTTAGACTCTGCAGCTGCAGAATGCATGTGTACCCTTCCTTGCTCCATAGTCTGAACAACTGTCTCCGAAAGATAGGGCAAGACAGACACAATCTACTTGAGTCTGTGACTTTGCCACTATTATGTGGTTTCCCTTCTCCCCACAAATAAGGCACTGTCACGTAACCATCTCTCAGGAAATGTTAGCATTCGAATGACGTAAGAGTAAGGCTGTAATATAAAATTCAGAGTGAAGGCGGACGCATCCTCCTGAGTGCCCCAGCTGTGTGGCTGTGCATCTGCACAGAAGACCATAAAGTTTGTAAGGTGACACGCAAGGCCCCCACCACATGCAACACTGTTTGTTCAGGATCGCTGTGATTGCCAGGGTAGCCTCACTCAGAGAATAGCCAGAAACAGTGAAACGTTTGCAGCCTACACACAGAGAGGCAAGAGGGTTTAGACTTCAGTCCTACGTGGATCCAGTGTCTGGAACCCGTTGCACATGCTGTGGAGAAGGATGGAGGTTGCCCTTGCTGCTGGAGGCTAGAACCATCGCTGCAGAACAGTGCTGCCTTCTGCTTTGTGAGAGGAATGATTTGTTACCCTCAGAGACGCCTACCAAGTTCCCTGAAGATGCCCCACGTACTTGGGCTTTGTATCCATGTGTATGTGGTTCATCTTTAGCATAAAGTGTCTCTTGACCAACCATCTACATGTACAAAGCGAGAGCTAATTTAGGCCACATAAATTGAGATCACACCAGGTAATAGTGTACAAGAAAATAAGAACTAGCTTGTTCTGGTTTGAGTATTTGTATTTTCCTTTAATTCTTCAGTTCGGAGCACTTTGATTCTTAGCAGGTGCTGATACGTGACTGGAGGGTAGGAGTAAGCTAGATGGAGCACAGATTCCTATCACTCCCCAGGGGATAGAAATAACAGGAGAGTCCTATAGGAATTCAACTCTGAGGCTGAGAAATCAACAAGATCAAGGGCTGCTTTATTAAAATTAGTACACTTAAAGAGGAAAAGTAATAGATTTGAAGTGAAATACCCGTATTTCATGACTGCAGGATTTAATGTAGCCCAGATGACTTTATCCCTAGTGTGCACAATTACAAGAGTTGTTATTGGTCATAAACACATTTCAGGCTGCAGCGCATAAGCTATAATCATTGTGGGGGTCAGGAAGGAATTCACATACAGCTACTCCTCTGCATGCCCAGTGCATTTCGCAGAAGTCGCAAGAGGCATTATGGAGATTTGCCATAATGCCGGTGTGTTTCATGAGGCGTCTGGAGGGTATGCAAGATACCAGGTTTGGTTGGCTTAATCTTCGAGCCAGAATTCAGATTAAAGATACTAATCTTATTTTTCCAAAACTGTAGAGAAGAAGTGCATTGATACTATGCGTCAGAATTTCCTCTCGCCTCTCTCACACGAGAGGAGACAAATTCTTTGTAAGTTAAAAAGAATTAAAAGGCTACCCCTCTGAAGCTCTTTGTAAGTTGTGCACCTTGTCACTAAAGGTCATCATATGCCTCATAAAAGCCACCAGCAGACACCAGTAAAACAATGAGCTGGAAGACTCCTCTTACTAGATGAGCCAACGATCTATGTCACAGTAACCATAAGTCATGACACTCTGAACCTCTCTAGTCTGGCACTCTGTGGTCCAGCAACATCCGTGGTCCAGTTTGACTTTAATTAGCTGGATGTCCACTTATCATGGGTGTGGCCAAGTTTCCTGCAGTCCCATAAATTTTGTTTATAGCCACCAGCCCTGGCTCTTCATGCTCTGTGCTGTTCTTTAGCTCGAATTTACCCCTACGAGCCCAGCAAGCAGTGGAAGTGCTGGTGATGCTGCTAGACAATACTGACCTCCCATGGTCTGGCACGTTCTCTGGTTCGGCACCGCTCAGGTCCCAAGGGTGCTGGACTGGAGAGGTCCAACTCATATTATCTAATGGCTGATTGGCCTATGTGAACTTATGGCACTGGTCTAGTTTCTAGTGAACCCATGTCCACAATTCACTGTGAAGCTGGCATTTTAAGCAGATAAGCCGAGGACAGACTGGGTACGGAGAACAGATTTCCCATCACACTAGCAGTGGCTTCTCTAGAGAACAGTGAGGTTGGCTGGAGGTGGGTGAAGCTTGCACAGCTATGGTCATTTCTGTGCAGTCCTCTGTGCACTCTATGGATAATGAGGACAGTGATTTACAGAGCTGTTGGTCTCACCTTTCGTGGGCTCCTAACATCTGTAATCTCTGTGTCCGGATGCTCTCTGCTCAGAGCCAGGAGGGCAGGGAAAGGTGCACTCTTCGGGCCTTGGAAAGGCTAAAACTGCACTTACAAACGAGAACTCCCCTTTCCAAGACACGGGTTCTTTATAAACATTCTCACCCCCCCCCCCCCCGCGGCGTCG